GAAGTGTACGGATGATGTTAAGAATACAAAAAAACAAAAACACAACACAGGCTGCATTTAACAACAGTTTCTAGACACGTTTATAGGCATGGCTCTTTGAACACTGCTGTGTGGGTTTATATGCATCGTACTGCTCCAGGTGTGTTGTTTAGCAGGGATGTTGGCAAGCCTTTGGGTCTTGAGTCCCAAGTCTGAGTCTTTGGTCTTAAGTCTCAAGTCCCAAGACCCAAGCCTGAGTCCCTACTAGAAACAAGTTCTTTTTCTCAGAAAAAGGGAGAGGTGGGTGGGTGCTGAGTCATGAGTCAACTGTGTGCCATGGGGGGGGGGAACAAACCAATGCAAGTTGTGTCACCGGTGTGACTTAAGTCTGACTTGACAGCAAGTCCCATGACTCAAGTCTCCCTCTCTGTTATTTAGCTCCATAGTTCTCATTCAGAACTAATGGTAAGAAGTACAAGGAAGGCTGGGTCTGGATTCCATTGGGGCTCAGGGGCCGTCCCGAGGTTTCCGAAAGGATCCTGATTTGATCTGGATTGATTTGTGACTGATCCCATTCAATTTGTCCGACATAATCCAAATCGATTTGTAAACATTCCCACTAACTTGCATAGGAAAATCAAAATATCCCGATCTTTTTTTTTCCTCCTGCACTAAAGTAAATGAAATTCAGAGACATGATGAATCCTAAAGAGGATCCTAAACTTGCCAGATTTCAGACAGCTCACTTTAGCGCTTTCCAAACTAGTCTCCTTTAAAGTTTACTTTTTAAAAAAGACAGCAACACAACAACTTCTGAGTGATTTATGACCCATAATGTGTTCTGGATCCACATTACTTTGTACGTTCACTCTCATTCCCGAAACAAATCTGACCATCTTGCTTCAATATAGACCTCATAAAATCACTCCAAATCAGGCTAATTCAGTTAGTAATTTGGATCTGGAGCACAGCCCTAACAGAAGCAATTTAGATGGGACAAATGAATTGTCGTTCCAGTTAATAAAAATTTGCTCTCTCAATCCCTGTGTTTTCCTGACCCCAATAATAATAAGTACATGCCATCAAGTTGATTCTGACTTATGGCAACCCTTTCCACAGGTTTCTAGGTAGAGAGCACGTGTAAGTATTAACCATTCCCTTCTTTATGGAAGGTGAGGGAAATAAATGGAGTTTAAAGCCTGCCTCCTCCACGATCATAATCCAAATAAATGACTCCTTGTTGTAGTAAAAAAAAACCATAATTTTTATGTTGCATTTGCCAGGTGGGCATATAGCCTCCTCTGATTTGGAGGAGTTCTGGCTGATGAGGGGAAGAAACCTGTGTATATTCTCTTCAGACATATATCTGTGATGATTCTCAGTCATCCAGGTGAAGTTATCTGGAAGTTGATTCATGGCAACTAGACTTCTTTCTTGTTACTGTAGGTTGGAACGTTTTGCTACTCATCCAAGTATACTGTAGTTTCTTCGGTCTGAGGAGAGCCTATTCAGACCAGGGAGAAGTGAAACCAACCTGGAGGATATTATCAGGGATCGCCTACCAACTCTCCTCAGTCTGAAGAAGCTACAGTGGACCCTCGACTTACAGACGGATCCACTTACAGACTTTTCAAGTTACAGACTTCTCTGGCTGCAAAATTTAGGTTTGACTTGCAGCCAGAGAATCGACCTACAGACCGGGAAAAAATGGAACAAAAAACGTCCGGTTACAGATTAATCGATTTTCAATGCATTGTAGGTCAATGGAGTCTCGACCTACAGACTTTTCAACCTGCAGCCACCGTTCCAATATGGATTTATTCTGTAAGTTGAGGGTCCACTGTACTTGGATGAGGAGTGAAACCTAACAAGAAAGAAGTCCAGTTGCCATGACTCAACTTCCAGATTCTCTTAAGACATGGTTACTTCCATGATTCAAGGGATACCATAAGGGAGCAGGTGTCATGTGCTCTCCACAACACATGTGGGCTCGTTGCTTTTTAAAGCAAAACCAAATGGGGCTATAGGGTGACTCTCTCTGTGTTGTACAGTATTTAAGAAATTCTTGTATGCAACTATGAATGGAACAGTCAGTGTCTGTAGTCTCCCATTAAAATGCTCTCAAAGAAATCTCTCTCTCTCTCTCTCTCGCGTGTGTGTGTGTGTGTGTGTGTGTGTGTGTGTGTGTGATGCCTAGGTAGATGCTTTTGTCATGTGCTTCACCTAAGTCTTCAGGGCAGGCCAATTTAGTTATGGCAGTTCAATTTCAGGGAGTCAAGAGGATGAGAAGATTGGCCCTAAAAGGTTGAAATTAAGGTCATTGGGAGACAATGTAGAGCCTCAGTCTTGAAACCGATTTTTTCATGTCAGGCCTCTTGTAATAAAGGACTTTGATTTTTCAGGGGCTTCAGGTCATTTATCTTCTGAGGAGGATAACATTCAGACATAATTTTTTTGCCTCCATTGTACTGAGTTGTTAATTTAACCGCTCTGCTGTTATGTTCCAGTGACAGGGAAACTGCAGATAGCTGGGCCAAATTATTGACTTATTCTGAAACCTGACTCCACTGACCTGCATTCCAGTGGAAATTAATTTGGTCTGGAATCTACAAACAGAACTTTAACCTCTGGAAAAAACGGAGACTCTTTGGAAAGGGAGGTGGAGGGAGGAGAAGAGAAATTTCACAGGGCAGGGAGAAATGTCATCCAGCAATCAATGTCTGAATGGTTTCAAGGCTCTGAACCCTTCGAGTCCAGATGTTCTGAGAAAGAGAGTTTGCAACTAGTCAAACCTACCACAATAGTTTTATCAACCATTGAGCTACATCCTGGACACTGCCCCTGTTAAGGTCACAGCCTCAATATATTTATTCTTCCTGATCCTATATGTGTAATAAAATACAGAACAGGGAGAGGTCCTATAAAAGAAGAGAGAGAAGGAGGACCTGCACGAGAAGTATGATAACGAAATAGAAGAGGTCTATTTAAATATGGTGATCAATGTAAATGATCCAAAATTTGTGATATTTGCAATACACAATGCCTGAAACCATTTAGCAGAGAGAATATTTATACTGTACAGGAATGTTAACAGTCTCTTTTTAATATTAAAGGATGTGATAGCTGAAGGAAAGTTCCTTTTTCCCCTGAGATATAATATAAAGCCAACTTCTCATTAGCTTTAACAAAAGTGGTTTCTTCACAATGGGAGTGCTTCACTTGAAGATACTGTCTGGATCTTCCATAATGAATATGCATTTCTAGGGCAATGGAGGAATAATTGGAAGAAGTCCTGAGCAGAGCCGAACATCAGTTTTGTTGGGTGGATTCCTTAGACAAGGTTGTTGATCAAGTCTAGGCAGTAGAGATGGGCACGAACCGCCAGCCTGTTGGTTTGTTTCTTGGCTTCTTCTGGTGGGTGTCCACTTGGAGGTAGCATCTGGAGGAAATCGGGCAGGGAAGCCAAGATGCTGACTCTGGGAAGCACCAAACCCGTTTAGCTGGAAAACAAACTGGAATGAACTACCCAACACTTTTTTACATTCAAAGCTACATAATGCTTTCCAGAAAGTTTGCCAATGGAATAAAATGCAGCACAACTTGCAGAAATGTGCAATACAATCAGGCAATGGGGACAGGATCAGAAACATGTGCTATCTTTGGACTGACATGCGAAGGCAGATTGAAACAGGATAGTTGTGCAATTCTGGGGGAGACTATGGAGTGGGGCAAGGACCCTCTTATTATTACTCCCAGGCCTGAACAACACCACAGCAGATACTTTATCTCCTATTTAGCATTCATAGGATAAAAAGCAAGGTCTGCTATTTGAATTGAAGAAAAGGTAAGGACTAAGTCTTCCAATGCCTAAGGAAAATCAAGTGACAGCTAAAGCTCTGCCTCCCATAAAACCCAAGATCTCCCCCAAAGACTGCAAATGTAGTTTTGTAGGATATTTTAATTTATTATTATTGTCCAGTTTTAATTGTTATTTATATGCTGCCTTGACTTCCAAGGCGACATATCAATAATATAAATAAAATTGATTAAAGAAAGGTGGAATTCCCATTGTGGTGTTGTGGATGGAGTGAGGGACCAGGACCCTGGAGATCAGGGTTCGAATCCTGGCTCAGCCATGGAAGCTCACTGGGGGAGTGGAATTAGTAAAGCGCATTCCTCAAACATCTTATTTTGAAAGTCTTCTTAGGGCCACTATAAGCTGGCTCCAGCTTCATGGCTCAACACACCCTCACTGGGGGAGTGGAATTGGTAAAGCACACTCCTCAATCATCTCACTTATTTTGAAAGCCCTCTTAGGGCCACTGTAAGTGGGCTCCAGCTTCACGGCTCAACACACGCACATTAAAGGAAAACAGTGTGCAAATAAATAAACAAATAAAGGGAAGGACTCAGATGTGATTTGTGTTTCTAACTATTTTGTCCAGCATTTTGCAGCTGCAGAGAGAGGAGGAAGCTCTTGCATCCATGTTTATATATCCATGTTTTGGCACTCTGGCGTATGTTTGTTTCCTCCTTCCCCACAACTCAGCCTAGTTTACCAAACTTTAATATTGTTATTCTGAGAAAACACAGTTATATCTTTGAGAAATAATTAATTAGTATACAGTATTAATGGGAGCAAGTGTATTTGCATTCCTTGCACCCATCCTTGTAATTGTCCAGATTTCATTAAAAACTCAAATGACTGTGCGAAGAATCAAAAAGGCACCGATCCTTATTTGTACGCAGAGATTCATGTTTTTATTTGCTCTGGGTGGTGTTTTTTCCCCCCCTACTCCACAGACTTCAGTCACGCCCTTCTCAATATGGTAGCGGCACCTAATTCGCTGGCGCGTTTTGACACACTCAACATGGCCGCACAGCCGCGTCTCCGCCTTTACCCCGCCCACCCCCTCCTCTGATTGGCCGCAGGGAGGCCCGCCCTCCAAGGACGGCCAGTCACCTCCTTTGTTTTCCACCTCCTCTCCGAAAAAGGGGCCAAAGGGAGGTTTTCCTTTTTTTCCCCCCCAATCCTCCCGCTGACAGAGGGGAAAAAAAAGCCGAGGTCTTGGACTCGAGGTTGTGCGCGCTCCTCACAAGGGGAAGACTAGGGCGACTATGCGCCGCTGGGGGGTGTCCCGCCTGGCGTCGCAGCGGCTCTTCCGGCTCCTCTCCCACCCCTCTTCCGGTAGGCCGCGGCCTGGTGCCGTTGCCATAGCAACCGAGGCCTGCCCGGGCCCAGCCGGCATGGAGGAAGCCCTGAGGCGGGCGGTCCCTCCGCAGCCTCCTTACGAGACCCGCGAGAAAGCGGCGCCGCCGGCCGGGGCGGCTCTGGAGCAGCGCGGGGCGGAGTTCATGCGCTACTACCGCGCTTTGGAGGGCGGCAAGCCGAGGGCCGAGCTGCTGAGCCGGCTGGCGAGGGACTTCGGCGTCGACCACGGGCGGGTGGCCGACCTCGGGGCCAAGGTCCTGCGGCTCCAGCAGCAGCAGCAGCAGCCGCCCCTCGAAGGCGGGGAAGCGGAGGGGGCGAAGGAGGCCGAGCCCGGCGCCCTCCTGCAGGCCGAAGACCGGCTCCGCTACTACCTCACGCCCCGTTACCGAGGCCTTTTCCAGCACCTCGGGAGGCAGGAGGGCGGCCTCCGCTTCCTCGTCGACCTCCGCAAGGACCTCCTCGAAGCCCTGGCCGGCAGGGAGGCCGAAGGGCCGCATGTCCGGGTGAGGCCCTTGGAGGACGGAGGGAGGGAGGGAGAAAGAGAGAAAGAAAGAGAGGGTCCTCTCCCTCGTGTGTGTGTGTTGGGGGAGGTTGGCAAGAAAGGCTGGTATGGCTACCGTCCCCCATTTTTTATTATTATTAGCATTAGCATTAGCATTAGTATTAGCATTAGCATTATTAGCATTATTAGCATTAGCATTATTAAACACCAGGCACAGTCAATCAAGATTACAAAAACACTGACTGGTAATGTTTACAGATACAAGTTTACAGATACTTGTATACTTAGGTTTTTGGTTAAAACTTTTATCTGTTACAGATACAGATACTTGTATCTGTAACAGATACATGTTTTAACCAACAAAACTAAGTATCTGTTAAATATCTCGGCGCAGTATGTATGCTGTTCCTAATCTTGCCGGTTTTTTGTAGCACTGCTGGTGTGATTTCTGAGATGGCTTATGGTATTGTGTGAAATTTCTCCCAAAGTCCCAATGGCTAAGTGTGTTTCATCCACAAGTGAGATGTTTTGTTATAAAATGTGAAACACATGCACAAAGAAAGGAAATTATGAAAACATTGACTGGTATTATATAACAGATGCAAGATTTAACCAAAAAGTGTCAGTTGTTTGTTATTGTTATCATTGTTATTCAATGTTTTCCCCCTTATCAGGGAAGAAATGTAGCGGGCCAGGTTGAGCTGGTGACTGGCCTTTGCAGGAGAGCAGCTGCCTGAAACAGCAGCAGCTGCAAATACTTTTGGGACATCTGAGAGGCAGACCAGTTCATGTGGAGTCTTCCGGAGTTTATAGCCCTGTTCACAGACTTGTGTGAACTCAAAGTAGAAAGGTTACTCTTTTTTGGTATGCAGTTTTGGGATTTGGGGTCCAGAAAAATAATCCCCCCCCATTTCTTTACAGAATAAAACTTGTAGATCCTCCAGATACCACCTTTATCATCACACTGTAATGGGCTTGTTATTGTATTAATTTTGTCATCTTCTCTTCTTTTTCTGAGGAGTCCAGAATATCCTACCTGGCTTCTTCTCTCTTCCACTGTGGCTGGCCATTTTGTCTCCACAGCAGTCCTGTGAAGTAGGTAGATTGGGCCTTCAGTAGTTACCCAGGTGACCTTTTGGCAGAAGGAGAGTAGGGTAAAGTTTGTTTTTACGAAGCTCCCCTTCCTGTGCAGAAGCAATGTGTATAGAAAAAATGATAGGTTTTAAAAGGTGCTTGATAGTGAAAAGTCATCAAAGTGGAACACTGGCATTCTTAAACATTGTTACAATTTTTGTGCGTGTTTGTTTTAAAATCACCATAAAAAACAAACCTTCAACCTTCCTTCATAAGGGCTCACTAAAAATAATCATTTTCTCTGTCTTCTCATTTGTATTTGTATCTCTAAGCTAGGTTGGTGAGTTTGCTTCTGGAATAAGTAATAGTTTGAATTTGTATCCCCTTGATCTCTGGACACTACTGACTGCACTGTATATATTCTCAGTGGTACTACTTTCTTAGATCAGGCAAGCAGTCTGATGTCTAACAACAGTGTGCCACATATGAGACTTTCAAATTTGCATGAAGAAAAAAGGGAAGCAGTGTCTTACAACTGTGTAAACTCCAATTTCTTTACTCATAGCTCTCAGTTCCTGAGAGTTTAGAAGAAGGCATATGAAGACAACAGCTCCTACCCATGATTATCTAATCAGTTCAGTGCTGTAGGGCCACAACCTGAAATTTCCACGTAACCATTGTGCCTAGTGGCCATCTAGAACCCTCCTGCACAAAGTTGCCTTATTCTTTTTTGAAGCCATGTGTCCTAGTTGCTATCATTGCATCTTCTGGTGGTGAGTTCCCTAAATTACTATGTTTTGTATGAAGAAACTTTTTGCCTTGTTTGCCCTTAACCCACTGTCCATCAGTCCCATTGTGTAATCACAACTACTGGTAGTAGAATAATGATGTGCCATCAGATTGATTCCAACTTATGAAACCTTTCCTGGGTCTCTAGGTATAACATTGCTTCACCATTCTCTTTTTCTAGTGGTGCTCAGGGACAATGCAGCTTGTCCACAGGTGGCAGGCAGGTTGTATAAGCCCATCAGTCTTATATGTTCCAGGTGAGCTTGTCTGTTCCCTTCTTTCAGGAGACAAAACACCAGCTTCCAGTGCATGAGTACCAGAAGAGCTTACCTGTTCTGCTGGAGTTGTAATCAGTTCCAGAAGAATATGAATAAGATGGGTTGTTGGTGATTTACGTCTGGCTTCCAATGTATGGAAATACCTCTGGGTATAGTTTCACCGTAGTTCAAGCCTCAAATATTTCTAGGTTCTGAGCATTTTTTTCTGTTCTTTGGATAGCATGGTTATGAAATATTTCACTGTAGGATGGATTGCAACCAAATGGGAAAGCCTTCACTGAGCCCTCAGTACCTGATATGGTCTTGACATCTGCGGAATGTTGAATGGAGATAATTTGGTTTCATTTGGAGCAGGATGGGTCATGAAGTAAGTGGAGAAAAACTTGTCGCATAGCTGTGTGTGCTACTCCTAAAAAGCACTGGCAGACACTTTTACCAGGGCAAAGTTCAGGCGTTCGTGCCAATATTCTGTTCAGCCTGCTTCAGAGCAGTACACAGTGTTGCGGTATTACAGAGAATATAGGAGTGCTAATAATATACTTGGCTTTAGCAATAAAAAATATTTCTGCCTTAGCTTTGGCATGGAACAAGATATATCCTATGTGTTTGTGCATGCATTGGAGCTGAAGCTTTAAACTTTGGCATTTTCTTCCCCTCCTTGTTTATGTTGCCTCTGACCTACTGGGCCTTATTTCATGTGGCTCTCAGTTACTCATTCTGTGCTATAAAGTGAATCCTCTGATTCAGCTGCCCCTCACGCTTTGTGAGAGCAGTTTATCCTTGCTGAAGAACATACTTTTTGAGCAGTCAGATAACCTTTTGAGATATCTCAGCCAGTGCTAGAGTTTATCCAGACTTTCAAGTGCTGTTATCCTGCCTTGTACCCAGGATAGGACAGTGGACAGGTGTGCAAATGGCAGTGATGATCATCCTTTTCAATTATACTAGTTCTGGGCCTTTCAGTGCTTGGTTGTGTGAGTTACTGGAACAATACAGCAGTTCATAGAATGAAATCATTTGCTGTATATATATATATATATATATGTGTGTGTGTGTGTGTGTGTGTGTGTGTGTATGTATGTATGTATGTATGTATGTATGTATGGTGTGCTGTTAAGTCATTCTAGACTTGATCGCCCTATAGAGTCCTTCCAACTGCATGATTCTGTGACTTACATTGACCATTTCCAGGGTTTTTGAGGTGGAGAATACACAGAAATGGTTTACTGTTTCTTTCTGAGGGGACATCCTTGGACTGTGCAGCTTGCACAAAGCCACACGGACTGGCTCTTATTGCAGGAGGCACAATTGGGAGTTGAACTCGACCTCTGGCTCCACAGCCAGATGCCTGTACCATTGAGCTATTCAGCCAGCTTTATCTGCTACAGTTTCTACATATTTGCAATATTTATTCTTCTAAGCAGTGTGTGACTGAATGGCAGTCATGAGTAAGATTGATTTGGCCATCAAGATACATGGGCTATTGGTAATATGATCAAACAAGATGTTTTTGGACATGATTTTGCAGTCTGCATTCTGTTGGTCTTGCTCTATTCATGATAGCCCTAAGTTGTACTAGAACTGTACCTTGTTTCTATAGGTCCGATCATCTAAGCATTAAAATGAAATGTGACATTATGCAAACTGTTGAATGCCTATTTAGGAAGGGAGTGCATCTCTCAAGTAATGGATAGATCTGTATCCAAGGATAAAATTCCAAGGTTAAACAGTCAGTAGGATCAAGAGCAATGGCCCAGAGAAAATGACTAGACTCCTTAGTGACTAGTTGCTAAGAAACAGTAAATGTCTTCCTGCTGGATTTGTGGAAGATGATAGATTCTTGTGACCTAGGTGAAGCGCTTCTATCCAGGCATGTCTGCTAGCAAACATTCAGCTATAGGCTTCATGGTAAAGAGAATTTCCCTGAGTGTATAAAAATGTACTTTGGTATCATGGAGGACAATCTATTTTTAAGTGTCAAGGAGATTTTGCTTTTCTTTCAAGGCGTGATGTGCCCCATAGCTCTTTTTTCATTCTCATTGCCCATAAAGCTTTAAGTGTCTCTGTAGTCAAATCAATAGTAAACCCTGCGGACAGCATGAGAATATTTTTTCTAAAACACGTTTACACTGATGTTCAAGTAAGCAGCTGGGGTTTTATGAATTTTGCAAGGATCCTGGAAATTCTTTTGGGGTATTTTACATTGTCAAGAGGGGATTTCAGTGTTATGTATATTCCACTGAGACAATGGCTGGCTCTAAATGGTGCTTTGAAAGGCAACCTTTTGAATTTCTAATTTCATCAATAACTTGTTCAGATTTGCTTGCCTCAAGAAGGTGACTTGTATATGTCTACTCATATCCATTACAGAAGTATCTATATTGATTCCCTCCCCCCCCCCAAAAAAAAAATAATAATGTGAATAACTGCTGTTCTTTCCCTGGCATATGTTCCAAATATGAAATCTGGAGTATTTTTGGAGAGAGAGAACAAATATTCTGGGAAGAATAGGGCCTTCCCAGCTGATAGGATAGAGATAAATTCAACTTTCAGTCAGCTCATAGTTTTCTTTTCTCACAGTGAAATAAAGTGGTAAATTAAGTTTTGGATTGGAAAAAAACCCACCTGGTATGAATCTTGGAGGTGGGATGTAAACTCTGTTTTGGGGTTGGGCTGAGTTTTTTGCTAGAGAGAAAACTAATCTAATTAATGTGCTGGGTATATTATTATAGAATGAGATGTCTGCCATGTACATTAAATAAAGGTAAAGGTTCCCCATGACATTTAGTCCAGTTGTGCCAGACTCTAGGGCATGGTGCTCATCCCCATTTCCAAGCTGCAGAGCCAGCGTTTGTCCGAAGACAGTTTCTGTGGTCACGTGGCCAGCACAACTAGACATGGAATGCTGTTACCTTCCTACCATGGTGGTACCTATTTATCTACTTGCATTTGCATGCTTTCGGACTGCTAGTTTGGTAGGAGCTGGGACAAGCAACGGGAGCTCACTCCGTCACACGGATTCGATCTTACGACGGCTGATCTTCTGACCTTTCAGCACAGAGGCTTCTGTGGTTTAACCCACAGCGCCACCATGTCCCACCATGTACATTACTTGGGTCCAGTATAGTAATCTAGTAACACGCGGTACTAAACTATAAAATGTGGGTTTTTTAATTTTTGAAAGTAATTACCGTAGCCAAGTGAACTCTTTCTGATGTATGCATGTTAAGTGATTCGGTTTTTATTCCTATAAGAACATTGTGCTTTGTTGAGATTGTTCTGAGATCACAGTTCAAGATGTTAATATGCTACATCACTGAAAGCCTGCTGGTTCAATTGTCACTTTGTGTAAAAAAGACCTTGATATATTTATTTCAGAGAATCATTACCAATGTCAGATGAATATAAACATTATGCCCTCTCTACTTTTTTCACCTTAATCAATTTACAAACACTAAGTTCAGCCACTTTTATATGACTTCAGAGAGGATGACGGACTCACTTTGTATGATGGACCATATAATAGTGAAGGAAACACTAGCTGTAAAATGGTAAGAGGAGGACGTTTTGCTCCCCTATGCTCACAATTGGCCTCAAGTCATCGGCAGCGCCAATATTTTGTCTTTATACTTACAGTTTCCTCCCCATCTGACTCAGTTTTTTTAACGTACATAACTGCATACAGTAATGCAGTGTTAGGGAATGAAAAGCTGGGGGATTTTTTTTTTTGAAAATAACTAAGTGACTACAGTAGAAAATGCTTCCAAGGTCAGTCAGAGTCAAGCCATAAACCACAGCAAATTCAAGGACTGAGACCAGCAGGAGAGGACTGTTTTACAGTTCTTCCCAACAGGTTAAAGTATGTGGTTGCTAAACCTTTAACAGCTGATGTCCCAGCAGAGCAACGGTTCTCCAGCTGACTTTACCAGAGTGATAACTTGTGGCAGCTGTCTCTGGTGCCTTAACATCTATAAGCAGCCACTTTGTAGAGGGTTTAAACTTTTAATTTCATCCACATTTTGTGCAGGAGTAGACAGTCATCTCAAGTGAGGCAATTTTATCAGTTTGAATGGAGCCAGGAGGGCTGCAGTATTTCTGCTGGCTCTCCCCCGCATTCCATATATGCCTCGTGATAGCAGCTGTATTTTTCTTAGTCCTGCACGCATTTAGATTGAACTTCACAGCAGAGTACGTTATGAGGTCATACCTGGGATGGGCTCCTGTAAGAAAGGACATGTGTAGGGCATGAAAATAGAACAAACTAAATCATGCTCCTTGCCTCCTTTTTCTTTTCTTTCTTTTTCTTGGTTTTGAAGAGTTGCTATTTAAGAAGTAGACATCTTTGCATAGGAGCATGTTAGACTGCATTACATTTAATTATTTGTCTTTTTTTCTGTTTACCACAACACTTTGGGGAATGTATACTAACTATAGTGTGACTATGGAGTTGATTATATTTAAGAAAAAGCAGTCAACTAAACATATTATGGTTACAATGTGAAGGAAGGCAGTTGCTGACTAAATGGACCTTTTGAGTGATGATACACCATTTACAAACTACCTTCCCAGAGAGGCTTACTTGTCCTCTACCCTGCTGTATTTTGGGTGTCAAGCTTGTTATTTTTTCAGGCTTTTATAAACAATTTTGCTTTTTAAAACTGGCTTTTAATGTGTTGGGTTTTGTTGGATTTTTTAAAAAAACTGATCTTTATTGTCAACTATTCTGGCAACTGAAAATGGTATAGAAATGACTAGAATTTGTTTGAGAGAAAGCTTTACTATATACGTAATTCATACGGACAAACGCAAGGGGCCAATGCCTCATTCTTGTCTACACTTACCTCAGTAAGACTTTGGGTTGGCATGTAATATGTGTGCTGTAAGTGATTCTCTTTGTGGTTATTAAAAGTATGCAAGTGAATTATTGAAATGTATCTGTTTCTGTTTCCAGGAAATGAATGGTGTATTAAAGAACATGCTGTCAGAATGGTTCTCCACAGGATTCCTGAACTTGGAAAGAGTTACATGGCAATCGCCTTGTGAGATACTGCAGAAGATTAGTGAGTAAGTGCCGAGAATTGCTGGGGAGTGTTGGTATGCTTTTTTTTTTAGTTCATGCAGTTTGGGGGCCTACTTTCTACACACGTGCTGATTTAGTGTTATACTGCTGTTTTGATAAGGACACACATAAGGAGGAAACCTTAGTTTGCAAGAACAGGTTGACTTTTTATGTATGTCTGTACTTTGTATTAAAATGCAATCATTATATCTTTTTAGCAGTGAAGCTGTACACCCGGTTAGAAACTGGATGGATATGAAGCGCCGAGTTGGGTCTTATAGAAGGTGCTATTACTTTGCCCACTGTGCAATACCTGGAGAGCCATTGATAATTTTGCATGTTGCTCTTACAGATGAGATAACCAGCAACATCCAGGTATATACTTCATACATGCCATTGAAACCTGTTTCTGGAATTTTTGTTGCAAGTTAATTGTATCTCTAGCTTGAATTTGTGGTTGCACATTCCGAAGTAGATCCCAGGAAATATTTATACATAGTCATTTTTCTCCTTCAGAAAAACCTTGTGCTTGTGACTAATGACTTAATGCAAAAATTCAAATAATTTCACTAGAATTATTTGCTGTAAAGTATTTAATTGTTCATCTGTGTGTACACATACATGCTTATTTCTGAAGAGAACAAAATAATAAGGTTTGTTCAACTTTGAAGTTGATTATCAAAAGACAGTTATTTTCCATATGTCATAGATGAATAACTTATTTGAGGAGTACTTCCTAGCTGCTGAGAAAGATATGCCCTCTCTTGTGCTAGCATAGTTGGAAGCCTTGTGACACCAGGGCAGAGTGTATTGTTAACATATGTTAACTTCAGAATTGCAATTTTTTGGTGTGTTTTCCTTGTTAAATCTTTAGTACCATCTTTAGGGATAATTGTTCCGTGAAGGCAGAATTCCAGATTGTAGTTAAGGAATTTTTTTTTTAGTATGGTCAGGATTACATGGCTAGTCAGTCTTAGGAAGCATGCTGCAGTGTGGTTTTTGCAAACTGTGGTATGCTTATACTGTACAGAGACATATATGCATGTTTTCTTCCTCGTACATCTGTTTCAGGGTAGTATACAGTACAGTGGTGCCTCGCTAGACGATGATAATCTGTTCCACTGAAATCGCTGTTTAGTGAAATCATCATCTAGCAAAAAGCATTTCCCCATTGGAATGCATTGAAACCTGTTTAATGCATTCAAATGAGGAAGAATTGTTGTTGTCTAGCGAAGATCGGCCATAGGAAAGCCACTTTGCGAACTGCTGATCAGCTGTTTAAATAGCTGTCTTGCGAAGCTTAGGCCCCAAAAACACCCGTTTTGCGAGCGTGGAGGGAGCTGCCAAAATCGTTGTCTAGCGAAAATTGGTTTGCGA